CTTACAATCAGGTTGTAATCAGGTTGTTAAAGACATCACTTGGCTTTGAACAAAAAACATGTTGATGTCCTCTTTAACCTCTTCCACATTTGCATACGTTTCCCATTAAGATGGTGTTGCAGCCAACGAAAAATATGGTAATCTGATGGTGCCATATCTGGAGAATATGGTGGATGGGGGAGAACTTCCCAACCCAACTCCATAATCTTGTGTTGAGTCAAACATGCCACATGTGGACGTGCATTGTCGTGGAGAAGAAGAACACCTTTCCGATTGACGAATGAAGAGCGTTTCTGATGAAGAGCTTGATTTAAACGTTCCAGTTGCTGACTATATATCTCTGCATTGACATTTCGCTATGGATTGAGAAGTTCGAAATGAATTGCTCCTTTGATGTCCCACCAAATGCAAAGCATCACTTTCTGCAGATGGAGTCCAGGTTTTGGGGTCGGAAAAGGTTTTTGTCTAGGACCGAGCCATTGTTTTAGCATTTAATATTCACATAGAGAATCCATTTTTCATCATCGGTGACAATTCTGTCCAAAAATGGTTCACGCGTATTATGCGCCAGAAGAGCCGAGGCAACGTTCGCACGTTGGAAACGATAATCATCGGAGAGTTCGTGTAGCGACTAAACACCTTCTTTATGGAGTTTTCCCATATTCCTTAGATGTTTACGTATTGTTTCATGAGAGACACGCGATTTCAGGGCCATTTCACGAGTATGTCGTCTTGGGTTTAGGCTCAACAGGCGTCTTCAGAGTATCAATATCAATTCCAACATGTCGGCCCGCCTTAAAAACTGTGATGGCAGAATGTGCACCGGGCCATTGTAGCAACGAGACACAAACCATGAATCCTCGGACTTATAGTCTGAACACGCTAACCACGTTCGTAAGTGTCAACGATGGTTCAGTAAATTTCGTTCAGGTGACTTTAAACGTCATGCACTTTGAACTAGTGTATGAGTGGTTTTAATATAATTAACATTTTGTGATATTTGTTATTTTTTCAGATATTGAGACTAGCTTTCAATCTTGTATGTTTTATTCAATAAACGTATCATGAGTTCTAAGCATAAGAATTTATCATTTTAGTTAAATCAGAGAGGGGGGAATATGAACAGTGCAGGGGTAATATGAAATCAGGTTCAGGCTACCCCCGGGGGTAATATGAAATCGATTTCCGATTAACGGGAGGTAACTTGAAAGGGGGGGGGTAGCTTGAAGTCTTTACATCGGCATGGACAGGTGGTTAATGCGCTTGACTCGCAATTTGAGAGTCGCAGGTTCGAATCGTCGTTTCCACCAAACATGCTCGCCCTTGCAGCATTGGGGCGTTATAATGTGACTGTCAGTCCCACTATTCGTTGGTAAAAGAGCAGCCCAAGAGTTGGTGGTGATGACTAGCTGACTTCCCTCTTGTCTTTCACAGCTAAAGTAGGGACGGCTAGTGCAGATAGCCCTCGTGTAGCTTTGCACGTAATTCTAACCGAACCAAATCATTGTTACAAAATCCACAAATTGGATCCATGGGAAGAGTGACGATAAAATCCATCTATTCGGTCACTTAAGGGTAGCCCAATAGTTGACGGTGGGTGCTGTTGATTAGCTTCCTTCCTCCTCTTCTCTATCATCTCAAAATTAGTGACGGCTATGCGCAAATAGCCCTTGTGTAGCTTTGT